GAAGAATTTTATATGCAATATGGTCTCTTTGAGAAAGTTACAACCGATCTTGTCATAGGCCTTCTCAAAGTCAAGTAACAAAATGACAAGAAGTTGATTACTTTCTTCCACCTAGTCTATTGTCAATTGAATTATGAATATGTTGTTGAAAATATACTTCTTTAGAAGAAATACCATTTGAAAGCTTTGGATTTGAGTAGAGAAAAAAAAAATCATCATATTTACTAATACCTTGGTTATTATCTTGTAAACATCACCTAATATGGAATTTGGATGCAAGTTATTAAAGTAGGCTAATTCTCATTTTTTTTACAAGAAGACAAATCTTACTTATATTAAGAGCTATGCATAAAGATTTAGTCTTGAAAATCTTTTTGATTAGGCCAAGAGGGTTTGCTCCAATTTTTTTCAAAAATATCTAGAAGAACTTGATGGAAATTCTATCCATATTGAGAGCTTTATCTAAGGGGAGTTCTTTGATTGTCTTTTAATTTCACATATTGAAAAGCTATAAATAAGCTTCTCACCTTATTCTATTATAACATACTTTGGAATGTTTAAAAAGTAGTTCTACCAAACTTGTTGATTAAGTTTGACAATATTATTGTACAAATAAAATTGGATATTAAGAAAATTGACGTATTATTGCATCTCATTATAGCCAATGAATGATATATATTTTTAAATTAATTTTCTTATAAATATAGATTTTTTTGTATCTAATATAGAAGTTAAAAGATTCATAGTTATATTTGTCATCAATTTTGGTCCATTTCAAATTGTATCTATCATGTTTAGCTTCTAGGATCTTTTGGCATCGGTAATGAAAAGCCAATTGTACCACGTTGAAGTTATCTTGAGCTTATTGATAATTCTATTTGCATTGTAGCTCTAATTTTGCTTCAAAGATTGGTAACAAATAGGCAACAAAGGCCTCTTGACGTTCAACATGGTGGGAGCAAGTCTTTTAATTATTGTACTTTTTAGTACTTTAAGTCCCTCTACTAATTGAACATTCTAAGATTTTATCAAATATCCTAAGATGGCCCTACTCAATTCTACTAGTATTAATGGCTTCATTATAGCACATGTGAATAGGTGCTAGTTAAATGCAGGTTGGTGTAATGACTTTATATGGGACAGTTGGATTTTTTCAAAAACTAAAGAAAAATTGAAAACATGCAATAAGATGGGCCAAATTATAGCCAAATTTTGGATCAAAGTTAAAGTTTAATTTTAGTAAAATCTATCTAAATAGAAGCAATTCATTTCTAAGAAAACATGCATATTATCTTACAAAACTATTTAGGAAAGCCTTTCATAAATTCATCTACTCTAAAATAGTCTTCTAGACCAAGATGTATTTGTCTTTTCTTTCTGTGCAATTAATTTCTTAATGTCTCTTTTGATTGTATCCTAACTTCCTTGTTTATTGTTTAGCTCATCAATCATATTAAAAACCCTCCCTACTTCAATATCTAATTGATTGCTAGAAGTGGATGTTGAAAAATCTTCTTTCATAGATATGTATGTGATTTAATATAATTGAATGCATATATATATTAATAATTCCCAACTTTTATGTATAGAGTCCATTACAAGGTGATATATTGGGCCCTTCTCTTCATTATTACTTTGTACTCACATAAGAAATCTACTAGTTTGGCCAATAGAAGAATGAATGTTTATCCTTTAAAACTATCTTTGTTAGTACAATATGTAGCCTTGTTCCAAAAAAAGAGCCCTCAGGGACATTCTATTTGCTTAGTATATTATTTTTTCTTATCCAATGATAGCTTGTGTTCTTAAATTAAAATGATTTCTAATCAAGGATAAAAAAAAATTGAAAGAAATTTCTTACTTCATATTGCTTGCATATTTTAATATTATCTCTTCCTAGATCTTATACATTTAGCCACAATACATGCAACCTCTACAACTTTGCACTAACAAAGATGCAGAAACACGTCTTGTACAACTGCCCAAGGATTTTTTTTTTTTTTCTGCATGGCATTGCTTCAATGCCCTTTGGGCCTATTACAACCAACAAAACAACTACACCATCTCACATAACATACATTTTGGCACCATGAATTAATCTGATAATGCCAATACAGCCTAAACTACTTCATGGGATTCAAAATCTTGTATACAAATTAACAACAACATGCCCTAGGATCTCTTGTGTACTAGCTTGAAATGGAACATATGGGTTCAAAAGTGCAAAGAAGAAATATTTGGACACACCTCTTCCTTAAGCAAGGCACTGTTCTACACAAAAAACAGTTATACATATTGAGGCAGAGGTGTGGCAAAGCATTTTTTGTTATAGGCTTACGTTTGTTTAGCCAACGATCATATGACACATGCCACGGCACTCAATGTAATGCATCTGGGTGCTTTGTTTTTACCACCAGAGGGGATTTCAAGAATGAAAGAATGTAAAGTAGAAGATGAGATTCTTATGCATATAAAGATTCCACTTGTTTTTGAATTGTTAAATCTTCTTTGAAGTGCGAAATCTTATGTACCATGTGTAATATCAGTAATCCAGTAGCAGTAAACAGCAAGGGCACTAATCCAGTTTCAACATCCTTCAATCCTACACCAGCTACAACCACATCATTTTATGATCTTCAATGGGTTTCTTGCACATAACGAGTTTCTTTGATGGGTTTAAAGTCCGTCTGCGGGATTACAAACTCCCCGTCTTCGTCTTCGCTATTCAGAGTTGGTGTAGCGGATCGATGATGAGGCATGTGGTCCTCGGGCAATCGTGGAGAGTTGTACCCGAGGAAGGATGATAAATCTGTTGATTCAATGTCCCATGCCTGTGCGGTGGGAAAGAAATCATGGGAGATAATCTTGAGGATTGATGGAAGTATCGTCCATCGCAATCCATTAGTGTTCCTTGTTGTGTACACTCCTTGCTGTTGTTGAGTAAGGCTGTGATTATGCAGAGTGAGGAGCCCAACTTTGGTTGTGACCATGTGTATAGCCAGTGTGCGTCTTCGCCGACCCCGAGTGGATTCACATGTTTTTGTTTCAAGACAATTTTACCCCGAATGTGAAGCATGGTCTAATTAACCATATGGGTTCAAGCCGACGTTTGTGTCCAGGCTTTTTCCTCAAGGCCATGTGACAGGGAGAAGGTTGCGGCGGTTTTGTTGAGGGGCCTTTTGTTTTGATCAATGCTTTGGGGAGGCCCTCTCTCTTCCTGTAAAAGGCGGGGAGTATGACTGCGGAGGCAGTTGTGTCATCTGGGATTCGACTGGGAGCTAGAGCCGACCAAAAACTGTTTTGTAAGTTTTTGGCTTTGTATCCGTGTATTCTTGTCTAGATGTAGGCAGTGGTAGAGGCTTGGCTCTTCTGTTTGTCCTGTTTTGGATGCCAAAGAAATGTCTGACATTTGGCGGGATGTTCATTGGGATGTGTTGCTATATTCTGTGGTACTAGGGCCCTTCCTTTCTCGCTTGGGGTAGAGGCTACATGTATTTGGTGATTCCACGTTGCGTGCGTTTGTTGTTCATTCTTTCAGCTGCTGGTCTTCTTGCAACCTAGCACTTTTGTACCGAATGGTCCAAAGAGCGACATCTATTGCATTGAGAGGGTAGGCCGCTGTATTCCAACAAATATTCAATGCCCCCTTCGTCGTCAAGCTGGGATAGTATGATTGATAGGGGCAAGGCCTCGATTTTGTCTGTCAGTATGCACACTCTAGGGCCTGAGAGCGGTGAAAGTGTCGGTGTCGTCAGCACAAAGGACTTTGCTGAAGTTCCCAAACGTTTTGCGCAAGAACTCATGGGTTCTTAGGAAGGGAGGGAGCTCCCGTGTTTGGGCCCAAACTCCCATCTTAAGGCTTGATTTATTAAGAGGGTGGTCAGTGTTGAAGTATGGAGACCAACTACAGAAAGTGATGTCAACCCTTCAAGCCAGCTTCCATGAGATGTCAACGTGCATGTCCTCCCCTCTTCTTGTCTACACTGTATTTCGAAATAGTTATTGGACCTAATTGTCAGCTTGTGAAATTACCTATGAAGATCCACATGGATAGTTTTCTGACACCCGGAGTGCCCCCAAATATGTGACATAGATCCATGTAGTTTGTTAAGTTTTTTCATTTTTTCTTAGTAAGATTGGAGGCGGTTTAGTGCCATGGTAATCTGTAAGGGTGGGGAACGCTCCTCATCGTTCAGTGAGCTGAGGGGGGCTGTGACGTTTGCTCGATCCGTTGTTACAGCGACCTGTTGACTGCAGAGTGCGGGCTGGAGCTGCTGGGGAGCAGAAACCTGCTCTGGAATACGAGGTACCTCCTCCGAGAGCTCGTAAGTTTCTACTTGACAAGAACTGTCCATTCGACGGAAGATGACAACAAGTGTATTTAAAGAATTTATGCTTGATTTAGAGAGGAAGATGGTTGATGTACAAAAATAGAAGGTGTTACTATTGGTTGATGATTTCTCAAACGTCCAAGTACCTCACATAGATGCACAATTGAGAATTGAGTTCCTACCTATAAACACTAAGTAAATTCCAACCTATGGAAACAAAACTATTCCATCATTCAAAGCTGAATATCGCAAGCAGTTGATTCAACAACGAATAAATTCTCTCATAGCATTAAGAGCAAAGATATTATTAATGTGTACCAATGAACAATGATACTAGAGAATGGTTGGAACATTACTGATATTACATCAAGAATCATAAATTGATGAAAAATTACACGTATAATTTTGGCTTTCTTTTTACAACAGGGAAATAGAGGAGACAACCATGAGAGACAGAGCAGCTCAAGAAACAATACAAAAAGTGTTGGAAATAGTTCCTACCACAACAAAACAATTGGCAATGGTATTTGCAAAGAGTGAAATTGGACACACTACGAATGCACAAGAGATCATCAATTATGATCTAGACATTGATTTAAACAAAGCCTACACACCTACTGAGGAGGAATTTATACGTCTGCAAGATGAACAAGATGATGCAGCAAACAATAAACCCATTAAAAAAGTTCATAATGTGTTATTCATAAGTTACGTTCTACATTCTCTACGTCCCCTAACGCACCATTCCAGTTACAATTCCATCCCACATAACCCGCACACCACATTCCATACATACCCTTGTTCTTCCGTCCTCCGTCAAAGCGACCGGTGGTAACACACGCACACTACCTCATCCCCACACCACAAACATCATCACAATACACCCAATCTCTCCCCAAACCAGGCCCACATCCTGCTCTATCGGAATACGATCAACTCGCTCACCGATATCAAATCCAAACGCACTACCATTCACACCCTATCTCTCCACCCACAAGCCATTCCACCACACCACACCACACCACACCACACGCATCCACGCCGTCTTCATGTACATTCCCCTCCATTCCTATTCCAATCTCCTCGTTTCACATCCTCTTCTTCAATTTCCCCCCTTTCCCACCCTTTACATCACAAAAGCCCCACCGTTTCCTACCCTATCCACACCCTCACCTCGGCTGGGCTGGGCGGGACGGACTCCTACCGTCCTGGGGTCTCTCTTCATACATATCCATTGTACAATGCCTGGCAGCTCTCCGTACCTCCGCCAGGTACCGAGCTCTCCCAGCTCTTCCGTATACCTGTTTCATTGCTACGACAGAACCCGCAACCAAGACCCTATTACCCCGTGCCTCACGCCTCCATCCCCTCCCCTCCCATCCCCCCCCCCGCCTATTCCACGTCGATCTCGCCGTCCTCCACGTCCACCACCTCGTCCTCTTCGTCCGTCTTCACCGCCTGCGCCGACTCCCCGTCCATCTCCCCCTCCTCCTCCTCGTGCGCCTCCTCCTCGTCGTCGTCGTTCCTCATGTACAGCCCCAACTGCTCCAGCGGATTGCTCCCGCCCTGCAACGCGATCGTCGATGAACCATCCGCCGACCCCTCATCCCCGTTCCCCGCATCGTGCCCTCCTCCCAACATCGCCTCCAACGGTACCGACCGCAGCCTTTCCAAATCCTTCAGTATTCCGCTGTTCTCGTCTATCTCCACTGTCCTCTCCATCTGCACCCGCCCACCCACCGCGTCCCGTCACGTCTCCCACACGCAACCCCCATACTCACCTCACCCCACACAGCCCCCGCCTCCATCCATAGAATAAACATTCACACACACCTGCTGCAGCTCTCTACGAGCCTCTTCGCGCTCCGCCTCCCTCTTTTGCCTCACCAGTAGCGCAGCCTCCGCTTCCGCCTTCCTCTTCGTCATCTCCGCTGCCTTCGCCTCTGCGTGCAGCCTCGCCTTCTCTGCATCACATTTCCATCCCCAACCCCACTTCAGAACACCGACACCACCACCACCACCACCATCGCTGCCATAACTCCACCCACTCTATCCACAACACCTCCAACAAACTCACCCTCTCTTTGCCTCCTCTCCATCTCCTCCCGATCCCTCTTCAACTTCTCCGGGTCCACTTTCTCGTTCTGTTTCACCACCCCCAACCACGTCACCAGTCAGCATTCCCTTCAACCACCACCACCCCGTCCCACACCCACACACACTCACTCACTCTCACCTTCTTCTCCAGAAGCGCCCTCTCCTGAGACTTCACTATTAGATCCGCGAATCGCCCTTTCAGTAGGGCTGCCCGCAACTGCTGCTGCGGCGATAGTTGCCGCCCCGAACTGCTCTTCTCCTGCGCCGCCACCCTCACGACCACACCCTCCCCATCGTTCGCCCCACCGTCCCCTGCATCCACAAAAAACACACCCCCCCCCCATCCTCCGTCACCACGCCCGTCCTACCGTTCGCATCCAAAAACCACCCAATGCCTCCACCAAAACCATCACACCTTCGCTCGCATCCACAACCCCCCGCTCTCCAAAACCACCACCTTCACCTCTTCCATCCCACACCACGCCCCAGAACCCCCTAACTTTCGCAGCTTATCCACCGGCTTATTCCCAAACTGGACTCTCCCATCAGAATGATAGCCCCTAAACGATAACTAATATAAATCTTGAGTACTTCTGAAGTCACCACATACCAATTAT